GTCGCGAAGCGATGTACGGAAAAACATTTTAAATCCATAACTTCTTTAATTGTAAGTAAAGTTTAACATATTCTCTTTAAAATAATTTTTTATCATTATGCTACAATTTTTTTCACTAAGTGATTATTTAAAGTGAGAGTGCATCATGTAGTCTTTTCTCTGAAAATTCCTAAAAATTTTGTCGCCATATTAGCATTACCTGAGGTATATCACGGGAAGGTTACACAGTCGGACTTACACTTCGGTGCGTGCGTGCGTGCGTTTTTTTCATAAAAAATTTGGAAGTCTGATATATGTTCATTTATGTTTGTGTAATTTCATGAAATCTCCATGAGACTATTTTTTTAAGTAGCGATCCGAAAAGTAGACGTTTCTACCTGTATAATGGTTTTTAAAACATCCCGATACGACAGTTTTTGACGAAGTTATTATATCTTGAAATTTGCCTATTTTTGCAGAGTGAACAGGTGTTGCATTAATGTTGCCCAGTATATATAGAGAAAACAATGATAATTTATAAATTTATGTAATAAATATATATAATTTGAACCAAAGCAATAACAGAATATAAAAAAAATTGTTTTCAGTTATATGTAAACCAATTAACAAATTAAATAGAGTTATACATAATTATTATGGAAATAGAGAGTAAAAATTATGCAACGCTTATAATATTCATGAAGGCAAAATAAAATAATATATATTGCCAAATTTGCAGCTGTCTATTACGATTGCAAAGTATTGTAAAAGAGTCAGTTACTGTGTGTTCCGTGATATAAGATCTTGACTGAGAGAGTTTAAACGCAAATGATACTACATGCATGTCAGAATGTCAAGAGAACAAAGAAACTAAGCGCTATTGTTTTTATTATTATTCGAGATTAAATTTAACAGATAAACATATATGTCATCTAGAGATTCGATGTCTTTTTTTTAATGTATATCATTTAACTGTTCTTTTATACGCAATGTTTCAGAAATGAGTTTATTATAATTTTATTCAGTATCCATTATTCTGACATTTTTCCAATCAAATCTATGATTGTATTGCAATATATGTTCCGTTATAACCTATACTCTTAATTTTTTTTGCAATTGTAATAGACAGCTGAAACTTATCAAAATGTTTTTTATTTGTATTTGCCTTCATGAACATTCTAAGTGTTATATAATTTTTACTCTCTATTTTCATGATAATTATGTACAATTCTATTTAATTTGTTAATTGGTTTATATATAACTGAAAGCAATTTTATTTATATTCTGTTTTATTTATTTTCTGTTGTTGCTTTGGTTCAAATTATGTTATATAGATAAAAAAAAATTATATAGATAATACAATGATAATTTATACATAAATTTATAAATTATCAGTTTTATCTATATAATTTTAATGACGATTAAGTTTTCAATATGTAACAATATCTCTTTATAGCTTCAAAATTTGACGATATTATTTATTATTCTATTTAATTTATCTACCAATATTATTAAGGACGCATGTACAATTATCTTATATAATTTGACACATCAAGCTACATCTATAATACTACTGGAAATTTTCTTTTACTCATATTTACTGCCCTTTCTCGCTGTTAACCGATGAATTGGTTTGGATTGATGACTCATCACTACTTCGTCTATTATTCGACAAATTTGACTAAATATAATATGATTGCGTTATATTGTCTATTGTAAATCGAAAGTGAGATAATCCTCATAATACATTAATTCAATTTTGATATATAGGGTAATTATACAGTATAAAATTTACCCCTTTTAAAAAGGGGAGAAAAAGGCGCTAAGAGTGCGTATTCTTCGGTTCTTCGGAAAAAATATACTAAATTGATTAATTCATATATACTGTTTCTAGGAAGATGTTAAACACTACAAATGATATGAGATATCAGCATACATTTACCTTTTTAAAAAAAGTAAAAAAACGCTATAGATACGTACTCTGCAAAAAAAATTTTATTAAATTAAAATATATGATGATATTATTTATTATTTTATTTAGTTTTCTACCAATATTATTAAGGACGCATGTATAACCTTATATAATTCGACATCAAGCTATGTCTATAATACTACTGGAAGTTTTTATTTACTCATACTGACTGCCTTTTATCGTTGTTAACCGATGAATAAGGAATGAGTACGTTATACAAACTCACGTTTTCGCCAACACAGTATGTATATACAAACTCACGTTTTCACTAACGCATCGCACGATCCCAAACATGACGCTGACCAATCCCGAGGGTGAATCGCTCATGTCTCGATTCTGATTATAGTGACTCTAGAAAAATGTTATGATAAAGTACTAATATATAAATACAATAATAACGTAAGTATATATTAAGACATAAATAATGTCTATAATATGTAGGATTAAAAGAAATTTAAAAACAAAGTATGATGGGAGTAAGTATTATATAATCAATGTGACTACGTGCGAGCCAGTAAAATAACATCTATAATATATAGGATTACAGAAATTTAGAAACAAAATACGATGGGAGTAAGTATAATCAATGTGAATATGTGCGAGCGAGTAATACGGCGTGCAGATTAGAATTAAGTATAGGATATAAGTATTTAAATTTGGAATTCTTTCGTGTGCGTTGTGAAAATTATCAGGTTTAATTGTAGTACTGCAATACCATTGTAATTTTTGTAAAATATTCACCATTCAACCATCTTTTTAATAAATGTAGCATTCAAATTAAATTCATTATTACGTTTGAACGGTTTATATTGTTTCATTTTTAGGTCCAGCAGCGCCAGGTATTTTTGCAAATTTTTTAATTTAAATTTTTGAATTTTGTTCTATTATGTCCTTAATTTTCTGTGATAACTCTTGGGTTGACAAGATAATGCAATTTCGATTTTATTTTTTTATTTTATACAACAAAATTTTGTTCCAAGTTTATATATTAGATTAAGTAAAAAGTCATCGCGTTTTTTTAAAAGACATCTATCAGTAAAAACCGCAATTACTTTCTTACCAACAATATAAATATATCTTAATAGAGTAAAGTTTCAGCTTTAAAAATCTCTTTTTTAAATTATACGATACGACAATTTTTAATGGAGTTATGAGCAATTAAAGTCAAAATAATTCTTTTATTTAATCCGCGATAACTCAGTAATCAAAAGTCGTAGGAATATTTAAAAAAAACGATTTTGTAGGGAAAGTATCAAGCTTTCACGATAGGTAATCGAAAATTTTCTCAAATTCGTTTTGGACACGTTACAAATCCACAAAGTGAGAAGAAAATTTTTCGTCTTTTTCAGCTCGTAGTTTTTGGTATGTAAAAATTATCAAACTCATATAAACTTAAAAAATGTGATAAGCTTTTAAAAGTAGAGATTTCAAGCTTTAAAACCCTTTTTTTAAATTTGAATTTCATTCATTATTGACGAAGATATTGTATATACAACTTTGAGCTAAAAAATACGCGATGACTTTTTACTCAACCTAATATGATTTAAATTAAGCGAGGTAACAATTTTTGAAGATTATAATATAGCGCCAATTATCGATATCCGATATTTATATACCTGATGCGTGCCGTTCAAATTAAGTACAATTTTTATTTATGGGTTTTTAACTTGGTGACAAATTTAGCACCTATTATTAATATCACATCTCTTGTATGCCTAATATGTATCGTTCAAATTAAGTAGAATTTTTATTTATGAGACTTTAATAGATACAAAAATATATATCTAGGTTTTATCATATACCATCTAATCAAATTTGGCCCGGACTGGTCCATTTAAACCGCGCGCGTAAATTGAATCGGTGAAAATTTTTTTTTCCAAATTGGTACAACCTTCTCTGACATTCGTGTGAAATTTGAGCGGGATACGTCAGTTAGTGTGTGTTTGGCAGCCATTTGTTTACGACGCAAAAAGTTTCTCTGGCGATTTTTACTATGGAAAAAAAAATTGAACAACGAGTTTGCTTGAAATTTTGTGTTTCCAATGGAATTACGGCTACGGAATCATTGAAAATGTTGCAGAAGTGTTTTGGGGAGTCTACTCTATTGAGAACGCAAGTATTTGAGTGGCATAAAGCATTCAGTGAGGGTTGTGAGGTCGTAGAAAACTTGTCTCATGCGAGTCGTCCATCCACCTCTGTTAACGACGATAACATGGAAAAAGTGAAGGAAATTGTGCTTGAAAATCGCCGTGTTGGCATTAGAGAGATAGCAGAAGCTCTCAACATCTCTTATGGATCGACTCAACACATTTTGGTTAATGTTTTGGGTATGAAGCGCATCGCCGCCAGACTCGTACCGAAAGACCTGAATTTTTCCAGCCTGATTGTGCCTAAATTTTTGGCCAAACACGAAATAAAAGTCATCGCTCAGCCACCGTATTTGCCAGATTTGGCTCCCTGTGAATTTTTTCTGTTTCCGAAACTCAAATATCCGCTCCGGGGAACGCGCCATGAATCGATTGAGGCCATAAAAAGAAATTCGCTGAAGGAACTAAAGGCCATCCCGGCCGAGGCCTATAAGAAGTGTATGGAAAATTGGATTAATCGTTGGCATGCTTGTATTGGCTCAGAAGGAAGCTATTTTCTCTTTATTTTTCTTTCGGCTTTATTCTCATAAAGATTTGTATTAAAATACATAAAATTGTTGTTTTTTTTAACCAGTCCGGGTCAAATTTGATCAGATGGTATTTTAATTTAATAAAATTTTTTCTTGTAAAGCACGTATTCACAGTGTTTTTTTCCTTTTTTTAAAAAGATAAATGTATTCTGATATTTCATGCATTTCGTAATGTTTAACGTCTTCTTAGAAACAGTATATGAATTAATCAATTTAATTCATTTTTTTTCCGAAGAATTGAAGGATTCGCACTCTTAGTATCTTTTTCTCCTCTTTTATAAAAAGCTAGTAAAGTTTTGTACTGATATCATGTATTTTGTGGCGTTTAATGTTTCCTTATAAAATTATTTTTTAATGTAGTAAAATTTCTTCTTGCGGAATATATATTTGTACCGCCTTCCTCTTTCAAAAAGATAAATTTATATACCAATATCATGGCTTTTATAGTTTTTAATGCCTTTCTATATAAAGAGTATATCAATTAATTACTTTAGTACATTTTTTATGAAAATTTTTAACTGTAACATCAGGATTGGAGAGTCATTCGATCTTACAACGAATTCTAACGGTCATTCGAAAATACTAATTTGTTATTTGTAACGCGTAACTCTTTACTAATTGCAAATAACCTTTTTAAAGGGTAATAAAAGTGTAACGGTAAAATGTTATCTTTTAAAATGACTTTTCCAAGCTTAGCACAAAATTAGTGTAGCCAGTAATCGTTGCAATCATAAAAAACTGTAACGTCGTTATCAGCTTTTATAAAACTGTAACGATAAAATTTACGGCATTACTTTACTTCACATCTCTGCATTTTTTATACAATGTATTTGTATAAAATGTTTCTTTTTAATTTTATAAAATATGAACCGTGGAAAGATTCTTAACTATACAAATTTAAACTTTGAGTGACCTGTTTATCAGAATTTGAAATATAACAACTAAGTATTGATCAATAAAATAATTAATTAAAAGTAAAGCATATGAAATTAAATTTAAAGGAATCTTAAGGCCTAATTATGACAGACATAAGTCACGGTTAGAATTACTCTTTTTTTCGGTAACTTTCACTTAATTTTATTCCTCTTTTCAAACTGTAATTTATATTTAACATAGACCTGCGGCATACGACACTTGTTTTCCTGCAACCTTTGGAAAGTTTAGCAGTTACTCATCACACATTAAAAAGTAATTAAAAATGAAATAAAGAATTCAACTTCAATTACGCTGGCCTTAACATGTAATATACAAGGTCATGACCCTGAGTGACCATCGGACAGTTTTAGCAGGCGACCGTTGCTTATTAAGAAGATATTAAAACGAACAATTCACCTCCGATGACCTTGAACTTCCCATACATTATGAGGGTCATCATACCAGACAACCTTCGGAAGATTGTAGTAGTAATCCATCACGCGTTATAAAGTTATAAAAAAAATTTTAATGACCTTGACTCATTGTCTCGAATAACTCATCGCTTCGCATAAATGTACCCGGTAGTGTCTCGCTCTAAGAACGCTTCGTGTTCCCTTAGCACTGAGCCACTACCGTGTCTGGATTTTCTGCGGCTGATGAAGACTAAGTATAGCCGAAATATACCGTTTAAAACTTATCGTCGAAAATTGTAATTATGGAAAATAAATTTTACTTTGTGGCACTTAATTATAGCTCGTTGAATTTGTTGACCTGGGTTTACTATTTATTTATCTGTTGTAAATTATACGAGCGTAAAGAAATTGTTTTTAATGTATGTTATAATATTGTTTTTAAGGAAAATAAATTTTTTTACAAATTTTGAAGTATATTGCTTTGTCGTTTTTGATATTCTCAAATTGAGTTCCTCAATTTGACAATAAAAAATTATTAGAAAACGAAATAAGTATATAATACAAAAAATATGATTTAATTTAATTAGTTGGAATGAACTACATAACACATGGGCTGAAAAGTCCCGAGCCTAACACAGAAATGGCGCTAGTTTTATTACATTCACCTCTTTTTCAGTGTGTGCTAATCTTCAAAAGACAGCTGTTAAAATTTCATGATATTCTATTCATTACTTTGTGAGTTATTGTGCTAAGAGTGACGCAACTTTTGTTTCATCAAGACAACGCACCGTGTCACAAGTCAATCAAAACAATGGCAAAATTACATGAATTGAACTTCGAATTGCTCCCACATCCACCGTATTCGCCAGATTTGGCTCCCAGCGACTACTGGCTGTTCGCAGACCTAAAGAAAATGCTCGCCGGTAAGAAATTTCGCTCGAATGAAGAGGTTATCGCTGAAACTGAGGCCTATTTTGAGGCAAAAGATAAATCGTTCTACAAAAGTGGTATTGAAATGTTAGAGCGGCGCTGGAATGATTGCATTGTTCTTGATGGAAATTACGTCGATGAATAAAACTAACTTTCAACGAAAAAAACCGTGTTTTCTTTGTTAGGCTCGGGACTTTTCAGCCCATGTGTTATATCAAATAAGGACAAAAATAGGAATGAAATTTATATGGAATCATATTTGGTGATCCAAATAATTCATAATGTTATCGAAAATTTTGATAATAAATCTAAGATAATAAGCGGAAAATAAATTTCCGAAAAACACATTTACGTATTAAATCTTGCAAATTTTCGTATTAAACCTTGCGAATTTAACATTTGTTCTGTTTTGAATACGATGGAAAAATCGAACTATTATATCTCACTGACAAGGGAAGTTACCCAGATGTTCAATTAGTTTAGAAAAAGTAACGGTTAGAAGTTATAGTATTCTATTAACCTTCCCCTATTAACTAAATGCTATTCGCCCGGAAAATTTCATATTAGAAAACTGGATTAAAATCTCCTATAAGTGGTTCTGAAAATGGGTTTAAATGACATTTTTTCGTAATTTTTTTTTACTTTTTAGATTTTTCTACATACACGTGAGTAATACATGTAAGTGGAGTAGAAAGGAAAACTTAGGTCTCGATTCCAGTAATAGATGTTGAACATTTTTCCCTCTCGAAGTTCGAATTGCATTTTTTTTTACGTATAAAAATACATTTATTTTTGTACTTATACATTTTCATTACATTTTTGTTATTTTAATTCATAACATAATTATTTATTTGATCTACATATTGTAATTATAAAAGTTTATTCTTTAATTGTGCGTGTACATTATATTAGGAGTATATTGAAATAAGTTTCCGCCGTTTTTTATCAAAAATTGGGCATTTATTGTGAAAAAACGGTACCTAATGTTTTATTCGAAGTATTGTCCATCGCTAGCCACTACTTTTTCCCATCTTTCTGGCAGCATACGGATACCGCGTCGGAAAAACGCTTCATCTTTTGAAGCTATCCACGAATCGACCCAATTTTTGGTATCTTCATATGATGTGAAGTGTTGCTCAGACAGGCCATGCGCCATCGATCAAAACAGGTAGTAATCAGAAGGAGCAATGTCTGGTGAATACGGCGGGTGGGGTAAAACTTC